TGTGTACGATGTGTCTCTTCCAGGCAGCATACTGAAGGGGTCTTGTTTCCTTATCCAATCTGCCACTCTCTCTTCACTGGTGCATTTTTATTAATTATCTGGACCTCTTTTTGCAGATTTTGAATTGTTTCCAATACTGTATCAATCTTGATTGATTGCTCTTGTAGTACTTTCCTGACTTCTTCCTTGTTTTCCTCCATCCCTTTTGGAGCATTTTAATTTGTTTTCATATCATTCTTATATTATTGACTCTTGTCTCAATGGTGGAGTATTATGGGGTATGCTTGTAGCTTGGCTATATGGCCACGATTGCTGACTTTTCTTGGGTAACGTAGTGAGGAAAAGCTCGTATCTCCAGGAAAAATTTGTGATCAAAAGGACCAAGAGCGGAAGCAATATAAAAACAGAGACAAAAACCACTTTGAAACAAAACTGTGGACAACTGTCCAATCGCCTTGCTACACAGGCAGTGTATGTGCACCGTAGAAGCCTCCAGCAGTGGGTGGGGGCGGGGAGGGTCCGCTCGTGCAGTTCCCTCCTCTAGTCACCACCGTAGAGGTACACAGATAGATATGAGAAGTTAATGGGAGAAAGATGGTCAGTTAGGTATTTGCGTGTGCACAGTGTAATTCTCGAGATAGTTGTGTCCTTTTATGTTGGGGTTTTACAGATTGTTCATATGGTTTGTCAGGCCAGACCAGGTTTTTTCTTGCTGTATAGGCCTGAGTAAAGGGCCCCACACAGGTTAAGTTTAGGGCTGGGACCCACAGGCTGATGTCATAAACAGCCGCCAAGCTCTTGCTCTTTGTTCAGTGGGAAAACTATGGGCTCAGTGTTGGACTTTTTGGGGGTGGGGGTGGGGTGGCGGTGTTGTGCACCCACTCACCTGAAGGCATTCGGGCTGGGCAAAGAAGATGCTACAGGGGAGAGGAAGAGAAAATGTGTAGAATCACCCGCATCTCCTTTTGTAAATGTCACTGCACTGCTTTTAGCACTGGTTCCCTGTGCCTGTCTGGCTATAGCCCCGCCCTCTGAACTCCACTTAGGCGGGGTGGCTACAGTGGTCAGTCCTGTCTCAAGCATTTCCTAACTTGCAGTATTTTCCTTTATATTGTGATTTTTTCACTTGCACATGCAAGAAACTGATGCCCTGTACCTTATGCTAGATCCAGAACCCTGTTGATGTTCCTTGAGTGGAACATCTCTGGATTTTCAATCCCTCCCCCATGGAGCCTTTCGTACCTGGCTGTCTCTGCTGCCCACCAAAACTAGAAAGAGTCAGGCAACAGTACTCATAATCTGACTTTTCTATCACCATTTCACTCTCCCTTTATCTGTCTCTCCCACCGTGGTAACCACTAATAAACTTAATTTTCTATACATTTGCTTTTATTTTTTTATATGAATGAACCCATACAATATATGTCTTTTTGTTACGGGTTTATTTTACTTAGCATAGTGTCTTAAAGCTCCATCCATATTGTATCATTTATCAAGACTTCATTTCTTCTACTAACAGAGTGCTAGTCCATCCATTTATCCACCTTTTGCCTACTGTGTGTAGTGAGTGCTGCACTGAACACTACAAGGAAGAAATTAGGAATGTGCAGTCAACATTGACGCTGCAAGCTCTCTGAGTCTCTGCTTTTGAGTGTTTTGGATACATCCCTAGGAGTGGAATTGCTGGATCACATGGTAGTTCTATAATCCTGATGTGGTGCCATAGGGTAAACACTGGACTGCTAACTGTAAGGTTGTTGGTTCAAATCCATCAGCCCCTCCTTGGAAAAGTTATACAAGGTTGCGATGGATTGAAACTGACTTGACAGAAACTGTACCATCTTGCACCTTTATTAGCAATGAGTAAGGGTTACAATTCCCTTGCATCCTCACCAACATCTCTTCTTTTTCATTTTTGTTTAGCTATCCTGGTGGTGCCGACTTGATGGCACTTCACAACAACAAAAAAATCCTGGTGATGGTGGTGGTGGTGTGCTGCTGAGTCAGTTCTGACTCAGCAAGTGTGTACAGGGTTTCTGAGACAGTCATTATTTATGGGAATAGAAAGTCTTGGCAGTTGAAACCAACCTTGTGCATTATCCCACAGGGCTACCTCAGCACTCACTGGCCACCCTAGTGAGTGAAATGGGATCTCAGGGTGTTTCTGATCTGCACCTCCA